GATGTACCACCTCCTGACGTGGGACAGCAGGATGTACCACCTCCTGATGTGGGACAGCAGGATGTACCACCCCACCCATACAACTTAATTTCTTACATCTTAGTCACTGCTCATCACTTGTGTCTGCCATGGTGCCTGACCCTGACTGTTACCAATATTTATTGAACAAATAAAAAATTAGATCTTCAGCAACCCAACCAGCTCAGTATGTGCACCCTACACTTTCTGAGACACTGCAGATTCAGCAGGAATTGTATAGGGTGAATACTAGAATTTACCCTCAGGACAATGCTCTCTGGGTAAATTATGAACCCATTTTAAAGGCAAGAGAGCAGGGAGCTGGGTGTGGGTGGCACACACCAGTCAGACTCACACTCTGCAGGGTGAGGAAGGAGACTTCCAGGCCAGCTCAGGCCACCAAGCAAGACCAATGCATCATCCACAACAAAACAAAACAAAAAAAAAGGAAGCAAGGAAGTTGTGAGCTTTATGACTTATTCAAAGCAGAGATTAGCATTAAGCAGATGCAGGGTAGTAGGCAAAGATATGAAAGCAAGGACTGTTGGGTAAGGATGTTCATGGGGGAGATAACAGGAGACTTGTGGGGTGATTAGATCTAGGAGGGAGGTCCTTTCGGTCCTGTAACTATAGGGACCAGAGAGTTGTTGATCCATGCTGGTGGCAACTCAGAGAGGGGCAGAGTTGATGAGGGCTGGGTCTTGTAGAATGTGGGATATAGTTTGAATCGGGATATCAGAGCTATGCAGAGGGTATAGAGTACCTGTGGTGAGTCACTGAAGTGCACAGGACGTGGTCCAGGCAGAAGATTCTGGATTATAAAGACTTCCAGAATGAAATATCACATGAGTCTATAACCTTCTTGAATATAAAAATACATTGTCAAGGGGTAAATAGTTTGAGGGTTACAAGGACCTGTCAGGGCCGGTCCATCTACAGACTGCTACTGAGATGAGTCCAGGATGGGGCTGAGTGGCACCAACAGAATTGGACTATGCAGATATCAACACCAGTTTATGGTGGTCATTGGACTATGCAGATATCGACACCAGTTTATGGTGGTCACGAAGATAGAGCTGTGGACTTGGATGGCGTTTGGATTGGGTTATTGGGGTGTTCCAAGGCTGGTGGAGGGAGTGTCACTGTGAACATGAGCCTATTGTTCCAAAGAGGCACTTAGGGTAGAAGTGACAGAGAAGGAAAAAGCACACAGTGAGAGAGGCACAGTAGGGAGGGAGGCAGGCAAATGAACACAGTTTTATTGTGTGCCCTTTGTCCTTCTCTGCTCCGGAGTGTTTCTGATGGTCTCCCAGATCCAGCGCAGGTATTTTGAAACTCGTGTGTAGACACCAGGTCGATTGGGCTGTCCACATGGAAAATCCCCCCATGAGATGATGCCGTAGAGTTTACCATTGCAAATCAGTGGGCCCCCGGAGTCACCCTGGGGAGACAAAGGACTGTTGATAAGGCTGAAGAGAAGGTAGAGATGCGGCAACATAGGGAGGAAAGGGAGAGATGGAGAGAAACAGAAGTGGTGAGTCAGAGAGATGGAGAGCCAGGGAGATGGAGAGCCAGGGAGAGGGAGAGTCAGGGAGAGGGAGAGCCAGGGAGAGGGAGAGCCAGGGAGAGGGAGAGTCAGGGGAGAGAGAGAGAGAGAGAGAGAGAGAGAGAGAGAGAGAGAGCGAGAGAGAGGATAGAGGGAGAGGGAGAGTCAGAGAGAGAGAGAGTCAGGGAGAGGGAGAGTCAGGGAGAGGGAGAGTCAGGGGGAGAGGGAGAGAGAGAGAGAGAGAGAGAGAGAGAGAGAGAGAGAGAGAGAGAATGAATCAGAGAGAAGGGGAGAATCAGGGAGAGGGAGAGACAGAGAGATAGTTATGGAGAGAGAGTAAGTCAGAGAGGTGGGGAGTCAAGAGGATGGAGACTTATGGAGATGGAGAATCAGAGAGACGGAAGTATGGTAGCTTGAATAAAAATGGCTCCCATAAGTCTGTAGGAAGTGGCACTTTTAGGAAATATGGCCTTGTTGGAGGTAGTTTGGCACTGTGGAGGTAGGCTTTCAGGTCTCATATGCTCAAGGTGTAGATCTCTCAGCTCTGTCTCCAGCACCATGTCTGCATGTTTCCCACCATGATAATAATGGACTAAACCTCTGAGTTGTCAGGCTGCCTTAATTAAATATTTTTCTTTATAAGGGTTGCTGTGGTCATAATGTCTCTTCACAGCAATAGAAACCCTAACTAAGGCAGAGGTACCAGGAGAGGGGTATTGCTGTGATAGGCTGGACCATGTTTTTATTTGAAGGAGTACTTTGGAACTTTAGATTAGAAAATCAGTTGAATACTTTAAATGAGATTCAATGGGCCACCCTAGAGGGAACAAGGATGACAGTGGTGCTGAGGGAGATTTGAACTGTAGGGGCCTGGCTCAGAGGAAAAGATTGTTGATATGTGGCTCAGAGACTATTGTGAAATTTTCATGAAGAATGTAGCTGCTTTCTGCCCTTGTCCAAAAAACATGCCCAAGGCTAAATTGAAAAGTTTTGGATTAATTGCATTTGTAGAAAAGATTTCAAAACAGCATAGTATGGAGTACGTCACGTGGTTATTGGTGGCCATGGTTATGCTGATCTATGATGAAAAGGAGCAGGCTGAGCAAGGGAAGTTACAAAATGTACAGTTTGAAGAAAAAGGGGTCACCAGGAAGCGGAATGGAGCTAAGTCCTGTGTCCAAGGAGATATGCAGAATAAAGACAAGTGGCAACCTCTGGGCAAGGCCCTACCCAGCGAAGCTTCCAACTTGTGAAAAGGTATTAAAGAACAGCTTAGGTCCAGGCATGGTGGTGCACACCTTTATTCTCAGCAATCCAGAGACAGAGACTGGCCATCTCTGAGTTTAAGGCCCACCTGGTCTACAGAACTTGCTCAGGACAGGCAAGCTTAGGCATTTAAAGGAAACCATTGAAAACAGAAAGCTGATGAAGATGTAATTGAATGAAGAGTCCATGCTCCAGCCAAGCAAGCATCAGAACTTGGCAGCTTTAGCAACATGGTTCTGGTTTTAAAGTTAAGGATACAAGAAAGAGCTTATGGGATCTCCCTCTGTGACTAAGAAAAGCTCCTGAAGCAAGGCATGTGGCAGAAATGTCCCTGCAAGAGGGCCTAAAGAGGCCATTGTGTGAAGCTGTAAAGGTGAAGCCTAGATTGTCTTGGAGACCTCAAGATGCTGGAGATGCCAGAGATGCCTCTGATACTTGCTGAGGAGAGCTGCTAACAGGGAGCAGAACCAGCGCGAGAGAAAGAAGTGTGCTGTAGTCAACGAAGCTGAAAGGAGTTGAAGATCTGAAGAGTGCTTTGACATCAGCCATAGAGATGCAGAGTTTGGACTTTGCTCGGCTGGTTTTCAGTCTTTCTTTGGTCCAGTATTTCCTCACTATGTTCCCTTTCATAATTGTATTGCATATCCTGTGTCATTATATGTTGGAAGTACATGATCTGCTTTTTCATTTTGATTTTACAGGGACTACAGGTAAGAGATTGCATGAATCTCACAAGAAACTCCAAACTTTGGACTTTTAAACAAGATTGAGATTGTGGGGACTTTTGGAGAGACTATGGGGACTTTGAAGTTGGACAAAGTGCATTTTGCATTATGATATGGCTATAAGCCTATGGGGGCCAGGGAGTGGTATGTGGTGCTTTGAATGAAAATGGCCTCCCTAGGCCCACGTAGGGAGTAACACCATTAGGAGGACTTGTTGGAGAAAAGGTGTTACTGAGGGGTGAGGGGAACGGGCTTAGAGGTCTCAGAGCTCAAGCTCAAGTGGTTGTCTCTTCCTGCTGCCTGCTGATCTGAATGTAGAACGCTCAGCCCCTTCTCCAGCACCATGCCTGCCTGCACAGCACCACGTTTCCACAGTGAAAATAATGGACTTAACCTCTGAAACTGTAAGCCAGTCTCAATTAAATGTTTTATTTTATAAGAGTTGCTGTGGTCACAGTGTCTCTTCACAGCAACAGAAGTCCTAGCTAAGATAGGGAGATAGATAATCAGGGAGGTGAAGAGTCAGGGACAGCAATTCAGAGGGATGGAGAGTCAGGGAGAGGAAGAGTCATGGAGAGGGAGAGTCAGAGAAAGGGAGAGTCAGAGGGATGGACAGTCAAGGAGATGGACAGTCAGGGAGAGAGAGAGGGGGGGGGAATGGAGAGTCAGGGAGATGGACCATATGCCTGAACGTTCTCCATGTCTCACCTCACAGGAGTCCTTTCCCCCTTCTTTGGTTCCAGCACATAGCATGTTAGCAGTGATCTTCCCAGGGTACACCTGCCGACACTCTTCATCTGAACGCAGTTCAATGTTGGCGCACTGCAGGGTTTTGGGGTAATTCACTGGGGAGGAGAGAGACCATCTGAGGAGACTTGTCCTGGATGTTAAAGAGTCAGAGTGGGCAGGAAATTGAGATGGGTTGAGTAAGATGACAGAAAAAGATGAGGCAGAAAGTAGTAAGGAGACAAAAATATGGACAGACGTGGGAACAGATGAGGATAAAGGAGAGGTGTGGATGAGAGGGCTGGAGCAGGGGATGGGGAGAAAGGAGAAACCTGAAGGTGGGGACTGGGAAGGTGGCTCTGTAGTTAAAGCGCTTTCCTTGCAAACATGAGGTCAGAGATCAGATCCCTAGAACTATGTAAATGCTGGGAGTGGGCATGATGGCCTGCTATATTTTCAGCCTCAGAAGGGGCTCCCCAAAGCAAGCTAGTTAGCAGTCCCAGCCGTGATCATGAGCTCTGGTTTGAGAGCTTGGTCTAGAAACCCTGCTTCGATGAATAAGGTGTGGAGTGAACAAGGTTGATTCCCAACATCAACCCTGAGACTCTATGGGAACAAACATGCACACACTCACATGTGTGTGAAATGGAAAGGTGTGTGTGTGCAGAGGAGGAAGAGTTAAAGGTGGGAAGGGTCCCAGCACTGCTGAGAAGATATGAGAGAGTAGAAAAAGTCGGTGGTAGGGAGAGGAGTGTGAAGGGGAAGGACACAGAAGAGACGGAAGGGAGCAAGGACTGCTGTGAACATGCCTGCTGATGTACATTATGCTACATGTTAGCCATATGTATAAAACACCTGAATAGTACACTGTTTATAGTTCATCTACCTCCACAAGATATACTTACTAATGCATTACATATGTAACAAATATGCAGATCATAAATACATTTCTTATAGTAAGTCTATAATATGTTAGCTATTACATGGTAGATGTTTTCATATAAGTTTTATTTTTTGGTACTAAGGACAATGTGTATATATGCCAAAATCAGAGTGAGAAGTTCAGGGGAGGAGTCAGTTCTCTCCTCCCACCAGGGGAGTCCTGGGGATTGAACCAGGTTGCCAGTCTTGATGGCTAGTGTCTTTACTCACTGAACCTGCTGGCCAGCCCTATTTCACTTTTTTAAAAAGAAATTTTGAGACAGATTTCTCCTTGTAGCTCAGACTGACTTCTCTGCAGCTTAGACTGCCCATGAGTTTATGATCCTACAGACTCAGCATCCCAGGTGACTGGCTGTATAGGCATGTGCCACCAGGCCCACCTTCTTGTATATTTATTCTGAGTCAGCAGAGATGGTTCAACAATTAAGAATACTTGCTGCTCTTCCAGGGGACCAGAGTTTGATTCTCAGTACCCACGTCAAGCAGCTCACAACTGCCTGTGACTGAAGTTCTAGGGAATCAGGTGCCTTCTTCTGGCCTCTGAAGACCCCTGCACTTACATGCACAAACTACACACACACACACATAGAATTAAAAATAAAATATATCATATATATGTAAAAATACATATGTAAAGTATATATACATATATAGTATACATATTCCCAGTACTTGAGAGGCAGAGGCAGGTGGATCTCTGTAAGTTCCAGGCCAGGCCAGTCAGGACTACAGAGTAACACCCCCACTGTATATTTTATATATTCAAACATTTGTGATATTAATATTAAGGAGATACATCTCTTCATTTATGTAGACTTACTTTTATAAAGCAACCCTAGGACTGGCAAAATGGCTCAGTAGGTAATGGTGCTTGCAGCCAAGCCTGAGGACCTGAGCTTGATTACCAGAGCCCAAATGTTGGGAGGAAAGGATGGAAATCCTGTAGTTTGCTTTCTGACCTCTCTTCAGGCCACCTTGACACACCTTCCCTCCAGCACACACACATAAAACCAATACCAATATAATACAAAACCAGCACACAATATGAAACCAAAAATGTAGTAAAAGAAACCTCTTCACTTATGGCTGCCTGTTTCCTCAGGCATCTGTGAGGACTCCAGCAGACCACGTAGGCACTTACCTTGGGGGCTGGTGGTGGTGCCCCAGCCAGAAACACGACAGCAGGTGCCAGTGGGCAGGCAGTCATCGGCAGAGAGTTGCAGAGTATGGACGTGGCTGTTGAGCTGGACTGGAGACTTCAGCTCCAAAAGCATGATGTCATGGTCATGATTCAGGTGGGTGGGGCTGACCTGGTATTCAGGATGGGGGATAGAGCGGACCACCTCCATTGCCTGCTCGCCCTTCTCCACACGTCCCAGGGCATGCTTGCCCAGATGAACTGTGTACCCACTGTGGGTGCAGGAAGTGGTGGATAAGAGACAGAAGATGAGCTCACCTCTACCCCCACCCCAGCCCAGCCCCAGCTCTTCCCCATCCCAAACTCAACGTCCCACATACTCTTTCCTACAGTGAGCCGCTGTGAGTACCCATTTGGGGTGAACCAGAACTGCTCCACAGAGAAGTCGTCCACGGACCAGTAGAGCTGCCTGCCAAGGCTGAGAGTGGGGAAGGCAGGTGTAGCCACCTGGGAGAAAACCACTGGTCCCATTGGTACCATTGAGAATCTTGGGGTAGTCCCGGGAAATTCCTGTTAAAGACAAGAAACTTTTAGAGAATTTGGGCTAAGGAAGAAGAAAAGGACAGAGTTATAGTTCTGGATTTGGGGAGAGGATCAGATTATTGTTTGGGATAACCAAAGACTGAGGATTCATTTGCTGGCCTCTAAGTTGCCATATTCTACTCACTGGGGATGAGTCAAGTAGAGATCTCATTTGTACTATAGAAATGCTGACTTGTTCAATGGACACTAGGAGGAGAGCTTATGGAATGAACACATTGCCAAGAAGTAAGCAGAGGTTCGTTCTCTCTCCATTTACATTTTCTTGAGGCAAAAAAAAGACTTAACTATTTACCTAGGCAGCAACCATACACTCATTTATTACTTCATCCACCTATCAATCCATCTTCCTAGCTACTTCCATTTACTTACCCATCCGTGCAGCTGTCAGCCCATCCATCTGTCCATCAACTTACCATCCATGTATATACCTGCCCATTCATTCATTCATTCATTCATTCATTCATTCATTCATTCATTCATCTATCTACCTATCTACCTATACACCAACATGCCCACACACTCATTCATCCACTTGTCCATCCATCTACCCACCCGCCTATGTATGTACATATCATCCATCCACCCATCATCCCCATACATACCATCTTCCCATCTATCCACCCGCCCATCTACCTATCCATCTAGTCACACATCCACATGTGTGATATACTTATCCATTCATCAAACCATCCATCTATCCATCCATGTATCCATATAGACATCAATCTTCCCATCTATCCACCCACCCACCCACTAATCTTCCTATCCACCAGCCAAATGGCTCACATGTTCATCCATCTACTCATCCATTTATGTATCTATCCATCTACCTGTCCATAAACCCATATATTTACTCATCCATCCATCCATCCATCCATCCACCCACCCACCCACCCACCCATCCACCCACCCATCCATCCATCCATCCACCCACCCATCCATCCATCCATCCATCCACCCATCCACCCATCCATCCATCCATCCATCCACCCACCCATCCATCCATCCATCCATCCACCCACCCATCCATCCATCCATCCATCCACCCACCCATCCATCCATCCATCCACCCATCCATCCATCATCTATGTATCCATATAGCTATCAACACCATCTATCTATCCATATACCCACTAATCTACTTATCCACAGCCAACTGATTTACATGTTCATCCATCTACTCATCCATCCATCTACCTATTCACCCAACCATCTACCTATCTACCTAACCATCTTTCCATCTTTCCATCTATCCATCTACTTGGATATTCATAAGGTGAAGAATGATAGAGGAAGACACCCAATGCTGATCTCTGGGCAAGCATGCATACACACACACACACACACACACACCACATCACTTAAAAACCTCTGTGTCCAAATCTCTATCCCTCTCCTCTTAGCCCACTCTGATCCACACATGCATGTATACATACATACATACATACATACATACATACATACATACATTCATACATTTACAAACCTACCCATCTATCCATCCTCCCAACCACCAATCCACTCATTGACCTATCCATCACATATTCATTTCTCACTCATGTATCAACTCAACCACTATGCATCCATCCATTCTTCCAACATAATTTCTCTGGGTGCTTTTCCAGTTATACAGACTAACAGTAGCCATGCCCAAATTCATATTTCCATCTCCAGTCTTTACAGTTGGAGGCTCAACTGCTATTAGCCTAAATAACTCATATACACCTTGATGTTTCTGCCTGTAAATTGATCTTTCTCACCCAAACTGTTCTTTCTAGGCCTTCTCATCTTGATGTTCACCCCAAACCTGAGTATCAATCCTTGCTTCACCTCCTTCCTTGATCATTTACAACAGTCCTGTTAGTTTGTCTCCTAAGTACCCAGTTGAAAATGTTTAAGATTTATTTATTTTATGTGTGTGAATGTTTTGCCTGCGTGCATGTATGTGCATCATGTGCATACCTGATGCTTAAGGAGGTCAGAAGAGAGCATCAGATTCCCAGGAACTGCAGTTACACATGGTTGTAAACCACCACGTGGGTGCTAAAAACCAAACCTGAGTCTTCTGCAAGAGCAGCCAATGTTCTTAACCACTAAGCCATCTTTCCAGCCCTCCAATATCCAAGTTTTGCCAACTCCCTGGCACCATTTTAGACCAGATTCTGCCTGAATGCTGAAGTCATCCTAAATATTTTGCATTTTTTCCAATCCAGTCTTTCCAATTTAGTTTAAGGAATCTTCAAACAAGGAATGACAGACCACATTGTTCCAGTTCTTGACTTCCCCTAAAATAAGTTCAACAATGCTGAGGAGAGGGCTAAGTTGATTAACTGCTTGCTGCATCTGAGTTGGACGACCTCCTCTCTGTCAGTACCAAGGTAAAAAACCTAGGACAATGTCACAAGTCTGCAATCTCAGACCTGGAGATGAGACAAAGGCAAGAGGACTTCTGGGGTTTGATGGCAGCCAGTCCAGTTGAATTGGAGAGCTCCAGGTTCAACTGGAAATATTGCCTTAGAAAATAAGGTAGAGAATGATAGAGAAAGACACTCGACGTTGACCTCTGGCCTAGACACGCACACAGACATGTCCTGTGTCACTTGGAAGCTTCTTTGTCCAAATCCCCACCAGTCTCCTCTTGGTCCACTCTGTTCTGGCCTCATGCAACTGTTTTCCCAGCACTCTGGAGCCTCTCTTTGTACTTGCTGTTCTGAAATGGAAACTTACGGTTTCTTTGGAAGTCAGTTCTATTGGGTGGTGTTTTGTTGGGGCAAACACATGAAGGACTGTTTCACTGAAGTGGACACAGGTGAAAGAATGTTCTGCTAAAGTAAGCATATGAAAGTATGTGTGATGAAAGATCTTTCACTAACAACGTGCATGTCTTGGTTTGCCTTACATTGCATAGCTAAGCTCCATTTGTTATGACTCCATAGAGAAAAGTGGATCAAAAAACTTCTGGTGGTGTTCTGGTGACTTCTTGCCACTTCCTTAAACTTGGCCCAAGTGATGTCAACTGATACAGATTTACATGGAGTTTTGCTAAGACAGACTCACGTGCTGAGGCAAGACATGTGGTGAGGCAAAACCCATGGAAGACACATAATGTTTGGAGGGAGTATAAAAAGCCAGTGATGGGGGGCCTTGTTTGCATGGCTAGCTTTGCAATGCTTCATTGGTCTCAAGTCTTTGTCTTTGCTGATCTTCAGTTCAATGAGAGGGAGAGGCATGGCAAGGAGATGGATAGCTATCTGGGACCTCAGTCTAAGGGTTCTCCTCCTGGACCTCAGGCACCAACAGGACATGTTCTGTAAGGATGCTCATCAAAGCTATAGCTATCCATCTCTTTAGGCTATCCCCTTCTCATCCTGGCATCCATGCTGGTCATAATTGTTCCTGCTGATTCTTGCTGATTCAGTTGAGGCCTGGCTACTTCTGCTAGGTCGTGCCACCACTGTTGATTCATGTTTGCAACCCCAACACTATTGAACTAGACTACTGGTATATTATTGAAGTGTTTGTGAGTGAATTGAGCTGCCGCTGCTGATTTCTATTAACTGAACTGCTGCTTTCCTGACAATGCAGATTGGATTTGCTCCAAAGAACAAGTTCTAAACAGGTCCACCTCCTCCATATCCTAGTAACCTTTCTTTTTCCACTACCTCTGGTGGGTGGTGGGCTAGAAGGGAGGTTAAAGAGTTTAAGAACCCACAGTAAAAGTAGGTTTTGAAAAATTTAAGCTACACTGTTTCCTCCTACTTAGGACTTCTTCTTTATGCCAAACATGTACCTATATGTTTCGATGTGCCAATTCTAGCCACAAGTGTGCCTTGAAGTCAATTAAAATAAAATCCAAACCTCAGTTCCTTGGGGATGCCAGCCATGTCTCAGATAGTCATTTATCCACACAGTCAGAGATAAAGATGAGGTACAGCTCTCTTGATCTCTTGTTCTCTTGCTTTCTTGCCTCTAGCTTCTCTCTGTCCCCTCGCCTCTCCTCCCTTCCCTTCCCTCTCTCTCCATGTGGTCCTGGCCAGCCTCCACTTCTCTCCTCACTTCTCCCACCATCTTCTCCCATTTCTCTCCCCACCTTTGCCCTCTGCCCTGAATAAACCCCCTTCCCTTTGGGGAAAAAAAAAGATGAGGTACAGACAGAGATCATTTGAGCTGATGCATGGAGAGACCAGAAGGCACATGATAGAGTTTTTCCCCTGTGAGATCTAGATTCCTCTCCTCAAGCTTGGTAATTCCCTCTTCCCCTCATCTCTATCTTCCGTATCCACTCCCATCTTCTCTCCTCTCTCCTCCATTCCCTTCCTCTTTTTCTTCTATTTCTTCTCTTTCTCTCTGTTCCCTCACATTCTTTCTCCTCTCTCTCCCCACTCCTTTCACTCTTACCAGAAGCTCCACTGACAGCAGCCTTCTCAACTACTCTGTTCAGAGTGTCATTCCTCAAATCTAGCATACATGAGGCAACACTGGAGACAACGGCTGTGGGTGGTGGGGGCAGAGCATCTAAGCCTGAGTGAGATACTTTCTTACCATGCAAATTACCAGCCTCGGCTTCCCTAGCTGTCAAGTAGAAAAAGCACAGTCCTCCCTTGGTATCTGTGGAGAACTGGTTCTAGGGCCCTACAGATATTACAGCCCAGAAATGTTCAAGCCCTTTACATAAAGCATCCTTGTGTTTACATATAACTTCCACACATTTTTCCATCCCATTAAATTGCTCCTGGTGATTTATAATAGCTAATAAAAGCCAAATGCCATGTAAACAGCTACTACACCTTATTTCTCAGGGGACACTGCCAAGGGAAAAGCCTCCATGAGCTCTGTACTAACAAGAATGGTTCTTTGGGTTGTTGTTTTTTTTTTTCTTCTATTATCAATGCTTAGCTTGTTGAATCCTCAGATGGGGAGCTGTGGATACAGGACAGCTGTGAGTGTTCATCAAGCGTCAGGGAGCTGTGAGATTCATTAAGGTGCTACCTCTTAACCTCCATCCTGAGTGTCCTGCAAATGCTTACCTACAAGGGAGGCCCCACAGCCTCCAGCCCATTTCCCCACCTGCATATGCTGGGATGGCCCACATGGTTTTAAGAGTTAAGGGCAGGAATAAAGGGTCATTTCAGTGGAACCAAGAATAAGACAAAGGTGACATTAAAAGGTAAAGACAGGAGGATGAGGAGCTCAAGGTCATCCTTGGCTACATGGCAAGTTTGTGGCAAGCCTGGGCTACCTACTTGAGATCCTGTCTCAAAAAAATGAAAAAAAAATGCCAAAGTCAGAAGCCGAGCTATGGTCCAGTTCTCTTTTAACTCTGGGTGGGCCTATGGTGTAAAAGGCTTGTGAGGAGGCTGGTCAGACTGAAACCCTCACTCTTATTAAGTTCCCTCTAGTACCAGAAGGGAGCAAATCCTTATCTAGGTACCTAAGCTTTGGGAGTTCCACCATCTTTAATAGCAATTTTACAGAACTCAAAGAAAGTTCAATTAATCCAGGCTTGGTGGCATAGGCTTGTCAGTCCAGCTCCTTGGGAAACGAACACAAGAAGAAGCAAATTTAAGACCTGCCTAGGGTACAGAAGTTCAAGGCTGGCCCGAGGAACTTAATGAGTCTCTATCTCAAAAATAAAAAGTAAAAAGAAGCCTGAAAATGCAGGCCAGTCATAGACTTCCTTAGTTCTCGTGGGTCCCTGTGATTGATTCTCAGTACTGCATGAAAGTGAGGAAGAGGGGTGGGAAATGAGGAAAGGAGGGAATTAAAAGGAACTTGTATCCCCAATTTGAAGTGGTCCAACAAATAAGCAGACTGTATTGTTTTCGTGTGTGTGTGTGTGTGTGTGTGTGTGTGTGTGTGTGTATGTAAACAGCTCTTACACCTTATTTCTCAGGGGATACTGCCAAGGGGAAAGCATGCCTTCTTTTTCTTCTCTCTTCCCCTCCTTTCACCCTTACTAGAATATATGTATACACACACACATATTTTATATATATATGTATACATATATATATATCATATATATATTGTACATTAATATATTATATATAATATTTAAGTAGACATTAGTGTACTAAGGATATAGTACAATATTTATAGTCCTAGGGATTGACCTTAAGGCCTTACTTCAAATACACTAGAAAAGCACTATAGCCCTAAGCTGTATCTCCAGCCAATAAACACACACACACACACACACACACACACAAATAAATAAATAAATAAATAAATAAATAAATAAATAAAGTAAATATAGCAAAAGAGCTGAAATTTAAAAGCCCTTTAAGTCAGAAGTTATGCAGACAGACTGCTGGAACAGGGCACGGTGGACCGGGTGGACGACTGGATTAGTATCCTGGCTCAGGTGTGGCAGTGTCTTTGGGGCAGGATCCTTCTGTCCCTGAGTCCTAGGAGTAATTACAGCACACCTACCTCATCAGGCTTTGGAGGGTTCCACAAGACACAGCATGTGGGGCTCCTGGCTCAGCGCGAGGCACCAGGAGGGGCAAGGGTGTGAATCCTGGGTGTGGCACCAAGCACGGCAGCCACCCCATCTCCTGGCAGGCGGGCAGCAAAAGCTGGTGCAGGGTGCTAGGTGCTGTGGACCCTCCCCCTCTAAGTCAGAACAAAGTCCCTGCGGAGACCATCCTGAAGTCTCCATTACATATCTAGGCTCCTGATAGGCTGCTCCTTACCTCATAATGGCGATTAATTATTAACTAATTATTTGGATAATTGCTTCAATAATGTCTGCACAGCTCTCCTGGACACACATGGATGCCACAGGCAGAATGCTCAGTGTCTACTGCTTGTCCCTGGCAGAATAAGTGAATGATGCATGCATACCTGGGATTTCTAGAGTGTGTGTATGGGAAGGCAGAGAAAAGAACCGGGCTTGTAGCTCAGCTGGTGTGTCCCTAGTACCCAGACAGCTATGGGTTCCATCCCCAGTGCCTCATAAACAGAGCCTGGCAGTACATACTTGTCATCCCTAAAGCTGGGAAGGTAGAGGCAGGAGGATTCACGGCCATTCTCAGCTAGATAGTGAGTTTGAAGCCAGCCTGCAGGAGACACTATCTCAAAAAGCAAACATCAAAGTCAAATAAAAACCCACGACTTTCAGAGCTCTTTCTGTCCAGAGCAATCAGTGTTGCAGAAGAAAACAATTGTAGGTACAAGGACCTTCAGTTTTGCTCAAAGTAGCATTTGCTAATATGTGAACCCGTGCACTTGTGAGCTTCCTGCTCTCAGGGAGGCTGTGTGTGTGTGTGTGTGTGTGTGTGTGTGTGTGTGTGTGTGTGTGTGTTTAGTTGGGGGGATGGGGCAGCTGCAAAGAGCCAAGAGAGTCAAGAAGAGTTGGGGCTTCCCTGAGCTGGGGCATCTCTGGGATCATAGGTATTGGTATTGGTGAGCTGACCCCAGCTGGGAAATCAGGTTACACATGGACTAGCAGGAAGCTATCAGGGTGTCCTCCCTGGCCTCGAGTGGGCGTGGGGCGGAGCGCACGGGTCCCACGCCCCCTCCCCGTAGCCTGACTCTTCCCACCATTGACTTGAGTGGCTTCCCTGCCTCCACCCCTGTGCCTGAGTACTTACCTCCGGACAAGGCCAAGGTCAGGCAAGCGATGGTAGCCACTAGGGGCCACATGATAGCTCCGGGATGGGGGGTGGGCAGGGTGGGCGGGGCCTGGGTCGAGAAGCTGAAGTGGGTATTGCAAAGCAAGCCCAGAGACTGAGTCTGTGCTTGGTACGCTTGAACTTTCCAGCTCTATTCATCTGAAATCCCTGAGCCTTGAATCTTGCCCTCTCCATTCCCACTGTGTGGGGGACACCCCAGGAGCTGGTGGAGGGGCAGCATGCACTCCTCTGAGCTCCAGGACCTGCCATCACCTCATAGAGGTCACCCGTTCTTCCTCTGCACTCTGAGAGCTGGGCCCAGGTAGCATTCTCTCGCCCATCACTCCTTCCCCGCCTCTGACCCCATTATCCCCTCTCTGGGCCTGCCCCGGACCCTGGGTCTCCTCCCTGGCGTCTAGTCTTTCTGCATGCTTAGGCTCCCTGCATCTCTGCAAGTTTCTGTCTCCACCTGCGCCTTACGCTGATTCAGCTATCCTGTATCCCCAACTTCCCATCCCTCCTCCTTTCTCCTTCCTGTCACCCTCCAACGCCCCTTCCCCAGGCCTCTGCCCCTCTCCCACCCAGAGACTCTACCTGAGTGAGGGGCCAACTTCAGCTGCCAGCTGCCTAGAAAGTTCAGCTCTGACCCATGGCTTTTAACCCCTGAGCTCCCTCCCCCAGCGCGCGTGCACCATTTCCCGGTGCTGGCTCCCCCTCTCCACCCCCAATGGCTCAGCTTGTTGTTGACAGGCACCCCCCCAGCCTGGGCTCGGCCCTCAGCTTGGAGGCGGAGCTTCTGGGACAAGCTGGGACCCAGATCTGGCCCCGCCCAAGCCCGAATTGAACCCACTGTGAACCTTCCTGTGGCAGGACAAGACCATAGAAAGGGGAAAAGCCCACTTTCCTTCTCAAACTCCTCCCACCCGCATACTGCTTGCCATGCTACATCTCACTCTTTTCCTCACCTCAGCTCTCACCTTGTGCAAACTCTTAGTCTGCCTCAGCTCCCAGATAGCCATCACTGAGCTGTCCTGAAATCTCACTTTTACCATAGGATCAGCCCCCCAACCTCCCTCAACGCAAGTCCCTTCACAGGCAACCCAAGCTTATCTCTCAATATCAAAATCAGCCCAGCCAGTAGGAGTCTCACCTCCAGTCTTTTTTCTTCTGAAATTTAAAGTGATGACCACATATGTTCATCACCTCTTTCCTAAGACACACGCCACCACAGGTACCAGGCCTTAGTGGGTATCAAGTGCCCCAGGTCCCTGAGCCTGGAAAAGTAGTTTGAACTAGGCAGCCTTTCAGGAGCAGAGTTGATGGAGTGCATAGCAAGGTGGGTGGAGAGGGAGAGGACAGGTGGGGGAGGGGAGGGCAAGCCTGGATGGGATGGGGTGGAGGAAGAGGAAGGAGGAAGGGATGGTGTTTGGGGAATGAGTAGGTGGCTTCTAGAACTGTGGCTAGGTGGGGCCCCATGAGTTAATCCCAGGGGGTGGACAGGGCAGGATTAGGGATTAAGAAGGACGGAGGTGGGGTCAGAATTCGGAAACAAGCCAAGAAGGGGGATCCAGTGATGTTTGGAAAGAGGGAGCTAGTAAAGATGACATCATTAAGATAGAGGCTGGTGGGGTGAAGGGTCACAGGAAGGGAAGTGGGGATATGGTTGGGTACAGGACTAGGAAGTTCAGTGGTCCAGACAGGAAGTTCAGTGGTCCAGACAGGAAGTTCAGTGGTCCAGACAGGAAGTTCAGTTGTCCAGACCAAAGGAGTTAAGATTTAGATGTTGAGATCAAACCTAGTGTTCAAAAATTAATTTTTAAAATAAGGTGTTGCGGAGCTGGGGATGTGGCTCAGTTGGTAAAATGCTTGTCTAGCATGCCTGAAGTCCTGAGTTCCAAATGTAGGGGGTACACACCTGTAAACCCAGCATTAGGGAGGTAGAGGCAGGAGGATCAGGAATTCAAGATCATCCTTTGCTACTTGATGAGTTTGAGGTTGGTATGGACTTAAAAAGAGAGAGAGAGAAAACTCACAGCGTATAGGCAACAAGGAATGCTCATATGAATTTATAAATCAATGTTTTGTTCAACTCATTGGTACTTCCACCTAGCAAATTTCATTTTTATAAGTTTAAAGAAGAGTGTTTCCATTGCTATCAGCTGCCCACAATATAAAGTTATAAAGTAGCACTGTGTATCACAGGACGTTACAGGACAGTTCTATCATCCTAGATACCTAGAGAGGCTGGGCCAGGAGGAAAGAAATTTCAAGACCAGCCTGCATTGAAGAGTGAGCTCAGAGGCCAGCCTGTGCAACTTAGCAACACTTTGACTCACATACAAAGTATGAAGAGGACTAGGGGCGTGGCTCAGTGGTGGAGCCCCTGCCTGGAATCCCCCAGTGAGGGGCTAGGTGTGTGGTTCAGTAGTAGACTACCTGCCTAGAATCCTCCAATGAGGGACTGAAGGAGTGGCTCAGTGATAGAGCCCCTGCCTAGAATCCCCCAGTGAAGGGTTAAAGGCATAGGACAGTGGTAGAGCTCCAGTGTAGGAGAGGAAGGCTCCATGTTCAAGCCCCAGGACTGTTCAATGTTGTAAAGAAGCTTCTCAAAGACAATAAAACAGACCCAGGGATGTCCCTAAATCAAGGTAATGTGATACCAGATTGTGTTTGGGGATAGGGTTGGATTGCACGTGGGAGAAACATAGATATAAGGGTGCTGATAGAGTCCTGTTGGTTTGGGGTGGGTTGAAGGACAGGATGGAGGACAGAAGGATGATGAGATGGTTGGGACTGTGGGTAAGAACTAGATACAGGCTGCGCATCTGTGTTGGAGTAGATCTTGGTAGGGGGTTGGCTCACACCTGTGAGTTCTTGTTAGGGTGACTGAAAGGCCAGTGTCTTTCCCCAACCTGGACTTCCTCCACCTCCCTGGGCAGGGCTTTGAGTGGGTGCTGAGTCTATTCCTTTCCGGTAGAGTCGGGTTCAGGTGGGGTGGCAGGAGGGAGGATGCTAGGTGAAATGAGGTGACAGCTTGTGTGGGAAGTTGGGGTACCTGTGTCCTCTTGTGGCTCAGGCTCAAGTTTCCAGTAAAGCTTTCTCACTTGGGAGGGGCTGAAGCCAGGAGTGGGGGCGGCTGGTGCTGGCATTTGTTGAGGGGTGATTGCCAGGTCAAAGTTGATGTTCAAGGTTATGATTGGCGGGGACTCAAGTAGCCTACCCATGTTGAAGTGAGGTCATGGACCCACCAACGGTTGAGTGCCTTCCACCCCTCACTTCATTAATACGGCAACAAGGAGCCTATGGTTGATAACACACATACACACTGGATCAAATCCAGGGATACCATCTTACAGCTTGTCATCTTCCTATATATTGGCAACCTAGCAGGAGAAAAAAAACTAGAAGAGTCAATGTTCCTAGTGGCTCAGAACTTGAGACCTCCACACAGACTGAGTTCAGGTGACGTGGTTGCTCTGTGCCTCAGTGTCCCCATTTGCAGCATGGCCCTCATCCACAGCACTTATGTCATAGAAAAGAGTTGCATGAATCAATATCTCTGGCAGGGACTATGGATCCCTGAGTACTTGTCAAAGAGCCAAAGCTACAGGAGGCAGCCCCAAGGTTTCCAGAGGAGGCCCCACCCTAGCTTGGCTTCAAAATAGGATTCTTTGTCAAGCATAAACTGGAAGTTCTGGTTGGAAGTCTTGGCTGGGACAAGAAAACCTGCTCCACACCCAGAGCCTGACGTAACACAAATTGACAGAGAAGAGACAAAGGGAAAGGGGCCAGAAGAAGAGTTCACATTCCTAGTGGTTCATAGTCTGAGCAGAGGAGATGTGAATTCACAGAGACATGGGTAACCAAGGTGGGTGGGTGAGAGGACAGAGCCATGGGAGAAAGGCTGTGACACCCAAAGACAGCAGACTGCTGGGAGACAAGATGTCCCATGGGGTCCTTGTCATTAGGAACGCTGAGTTTAATCCTCATCATCCTCACTCTTTACCACCAGAATGGAGAGAGTTCCAAAGCTCTGTCTTACCACCTACCTGCATCTGCACCACATCCTTCGCCTCTGCCTCTCTGCATTTGTGGCTAAGACAGACTTCTCAGAATCTTGTCCCTCTGGACACCTCAAAAGAACCTCCCCAAGACCCTTTTGACAGGATCATCAATAGTTCTTTTCTTCCACCAGAGAAGTCCCGTTAGCATAAAAATGGTAGACTTTCTCCAGTCTATCATTAAGAAAATGGCAATGGTGTAGGGGAGGCACACCACCTTCTGTCTTCCAACCTTGGCATTTCTCATCTCTGCTCCCATTTCACTCGGTCCCATCTCTAAAATGTTGGCTACACTCCTGGTGTGCAATTTCCCCGAACCTATTCCACGAGTGTATTCTCCATGTACCTATGTTAAGGGCACTAGTGGCCTCCATGTTGTGGAGTCCAACTGCCAGCTCTTCATTGACATCTTACTTGAGTTATCAGCAGTGTTCAAAGCGTGGGTTATTCCCTAGTCAACAGTAGAGTTCCTTTCCTTGATGTTCTAGGACATGGTGTTCTTCTGGGTCTCTTCATGTCTTGCTGGAGGCTCCTCAGCTGTGTTTGGCTCTGTCTCTTCATGGCCTGGAGCTTTTTCTCTCTTCCGTCTATACTCACTCCCTTGCTGAACTTATCCTGTGCCATGACTTTAAATATTATCTACAGGTACACAACCACTGTTGTGTTTTATAAAAAAGAAAAAGAAGGCAGGAATATGCTGGGTGGATGCACGGTATGGTGCGGGGGAGGGGGCTCATGCTGAGGCATCCCTCCCCCTGAGGGACCAGCCACATGATGGCATAGTGAGAAGAAAGTGATGAGAGGGCAAGCAGCCCCCCCTCATTATAGTGAGTCAGGCACACCTGGCTGTTGCCAGGCAACTATGGGGCAGAGCCTAGATGAAATGCCCACAACCACTTCCAAATTTATTGTCACTGGACTCTTGTTCTGGGCTTTTAAGTTTAGGATCTCCCTGCCCACTCTTGATCCTCTCTGTTGGTGGTCACACCATCCTTTCCTTACTCAGCCAGAACTTTATCTTGACCCTGAGTTCCTTTTCTCACACTGTATATCTGTTCTGCTATCAAACCCTCCCAGCTCTTTCTTCAACACAGACCCAGAATCTGACCAGTTCTCATCACCCTCTTTCTTGTGCCCTTGGCGTCTTCTGGACTTTCCTTTCTAAGCTGGGTTACTTCAAGTTCCTCGTGTGGTCTCTTTGCTTCTGTCTCTGTCTAAACTCCGTATTTTGAATATCTGTGTATCATCTGGGCATGGTGACACACATCTTCGATCTCAGCACTCAGGAGGCAGAGGCAGGCAGATCTCTCTGAGTTCAAGGTCAGCCTGGTCTACAGAGTGAGTTCTAGGACAGCCAGGGCTACACAGAGAAACCTTATCTCAAAGTAAATAAATAACTAACTAATCTCTTTGGTGTGTGCATGTATGAACATGTTTGTATGTATAAGTAGAGGCAGGAGTGTACCAGGTGCATCTGGGAGGATAAAAAAAAAATCTTGGGTAACAGTCATTGTTGTCTACCTTGTTTGAGACAAAGGTTCTTGTCTTTTGCACCACTGTGTATACTGGGGTAGCTGACTCTTGAACTTCCAAGAATTCTGTCTTCACCTCTCACCTCTCTGTAAGAGCACTGGGCTTACAGATGAATGGTATAGCACCCAGGTTTATGTGGGTTCTGGAGATCTGAACTCAGGTATTTGTGCTTTCGTAGCAAGCACTTTGCTCACAGCACCATCTTGACGGCCGCTATACATAGCCTGCTTTCAATATATGCAGATGTGGCTTAGCCATATACACCCAGATGAACAGACAGTGTGAGCAGGCTGGATGGGCCAAGGATGTAGACTTTATCTCCCTGGAAAGAGCCATGTTTTTCCTTTTGAAGTGCTGGGCTTGAATATCCCAGGTCTGCCAGGTTGCACAGCCATGCAGAGGGACCTCTCTCCATTTCTTTTTTGAGATGTATTTGTTATTGTTTTATTTGTATGGGTGTTTTGTTCCTCACCACGTGCATGCAGTACCCACAGTGGCCTGAAGGTGGTGTCAGATCCCCAGAACTATAGTCACAGCCACCTTGTGGAGACTATAATTGAACCCATGTCCTCTGGAAGAGCAGCCAGTGTTCTTAACCACTGAACAGTCTCTCTAGCTCCATCCCCCACCAACACACACACATGCACACTCACACGCGCGCTCACACACACAC